CAGTCAGCAGTTCATTTTGTTAAAAGACGAAAAAAAGACGACAAAGCGTGCTTTCTGACTGACAAGATCTTTTGCAATACCTCAATTTTGAAATATATTAGGAGAGAAACTGATATTTTCTAAGTAAGTTTATTCAGATGAAAAAATATATATTAATTTAATTCTTCAAGAGAAATGATTTAACAGATGGTTGATTTTTTTTTTTTTTTTAATTTTTATCATGCTTATTTCTTTTATTTTAAGAATTTATTTTTTTGAAAAAAGACAACAACTGAAGGAGCTAGAGCTTTATAACTAATATAATGATGTAGTTAGTGAGAGTACGGTCTACTTTATTACAGTGGAAGTGAGGGTGAGTGTCCCATTGGTCAAATTGGACGAAAACATTAAGAGAAGAAGAGCTCTTTAGAAAACAAAATATCAGGTGCTCAGAAAGAAAACTGAACATATTTCCCACGTTTTTTGTATATTTATAATCAATCATTTACTATGCTGACCAGAGTTGTGAAAGAGATCTTCTGTTCATTATTTTTTTAAGAGAAGTTTTTTATGTTTCCTAAAAGTATGTGCTCCCTTTTGTTTTGTAAAAAAAAAAAAGCAACGTGACCCTGATTTGTTAGCCTGACATTGCTGGGAGAAAAAAAAACAAAAAACAACGAGACTTGTGAGAGTCGCCGAACAGCTGGAGGTAGAGAGACAAGAATGTTATTTTTAACACAAAACAGACACAAGTGTTTTCACCTGTAACTTGATCGAGAGCCCCCAAGGTGCATCAATTGACTGGTGGCCTTCTATTCACGCAAGACTTGAATTATAGTCCCATTTTTTAAGGCTAAAAACCTTGACTCTTTGTTGTAATGTGCAATACTGTTTGTACTGTTTGTAGAAAAGAAGAAAACAAGAAAAAGAGGCATAAATCTTTATTGCAGAATTATTTTCATTGCGAGCATTGTGATTCACTAAAATCATTTTCTACTGTGTATTTACCTACTCTACCTGCTAGTACCTTCCAGTAGTAATGTAGCCTTTGTACTGAGAAATTTTCATTATTTTTAGAAAGTTTTGCTAAAAAAGAAAAGAATTTAAACATATTTACATATTTTCATTTTATTTCATATTTTTTCTTTACAGACTTATTTCTCAACCATTAATAGTTATTTCTGGGGGAGACTTTCATATCTGGTCAATGTCATTAATATTATTTTGTATTTTTACTTGGAATAAATTAATTTTATGATGCTAATTCTTTAAAAGTTTATTTTTTTTCGTTTGTTCACTTTTTCATTTTTTTGAAGCTGAGAAAAAAAACAACTTTGTAATATTGTTACTAAAGTGTCTCAATTCTTGAACTGCTAAGCTTTATGTGTTAACTCGCTGATGTTGCTTACATTAGTGTGAAAAAAAAAACTACTCACAAACAACAGGTTGGTGGTTGGTGATGTTTAAGTGATTCGCGATGTAAACAAATGAATGGGCAATAAAATAAAAATGGCAGAATGGAGCATACATGCAGTATGTTGTGATGTAATTATGGAAGATGGACAACACCACTGGCCATTTACATTGCTTCTGCTACTCCAATACTACTACTACTACTACTACTACTACTACTACTATTATTACCACTCGCTCTACAACAATAACTCATCCTCACTTTGTGCAGTGGAGAACAACACTTCTCACATGTGAAATACTCAACAGCACCTCCTAAACAAACAGCCATGTTTCACACACGTCCTCCTCTTTCTAGTTGATTCAGTCCCTTCAGAGTGCACCAGTGTGATTGTATTTAGGTATGAATGTAAATATAGAGATGCACAGTATGATATACAGTTTGGGGAGAGCATGTATGATTCTTAATTATGCACAGTAGGCAATGGTATAAAATATTTTTTTATTCAACTTTTTGTTGTTGGTTTCTGTTTCTGTTAAATTTCCCCTCCTGATCTTCAGCCTTAAGACAACAGTTTTGGGAAACATGCTTATTCACTACAGCTCGTAGTTTTTGCACTGAGGTGCTGGTAGGCTAATTTTTGTTTTATCAGAAATCACATCCTCTATAACTCTCTTGCTGAGTTAGATGAGATGATCAATACCGCTGTCATTACCTGTTTGATCTATATGAAGCTGCAACTAGCAGCTGGTTAGCTTAGCATAAAAGAGGGCGTAACAGCTAACCTGGCTCTGTCCAAAGGAACAAGTATAATATGTGGTTTCATATTTTAGATTTTGTGGGGTCAAGCAAGATTTAAATTGTGATCAGTGAGCTTCAGGCTACCTGCTTCCATTCTTTATGCTACGCTACACTTACCTGTTTGATATATATGAAGCTACAGCTCTGAGCTTCTTAGCTTAGCATGAAAGATGAGGTACAGCTAACCTTGCTCTGTCCAAAGGAACATCTAATGTAATGTATAATGTGTGGTTTAACATTTTAGTTTTAAATGTTGATCAGTGAGCTTTAGGCTAGCTGCTTCCAGTCTTATGCTATGCTACGCTTACCTGTTTGATCTATATGAAGCTACAGCTAGCAGCTGGTTAGTTTAGCATAAAAGAGTGCGTAACAGCTAACCTGGCTCTGTCCAAAGGAACATATAATGTAATCTATAGTTGAGTTTTTGTGTGGTCACCCAAGATTTAAATGTTGTTTAGTGGGCTTCAGGCTAGCTGTTTCCAGTCTTTATGCTACGCTACACTAACTGGCTAAGCTAACTTCAGACATGAGTGTGGTGTTGATATGTTCATTTAACTCTCAGCAAATAAACATATTTCCCAAAATAAGACAACAGTTTCTTTAATTCAGGCTGAAGCTCCCATCTTGAAATTATTTTTGACGTCCTTCCTCTGATAGTCTTCATCGGAAAGACTCCAGTGCTCATGTGAGAATGTTGTTTCTGGCCTTTTCTACCACTTTATAAACTGATGCTGATACCAAGTCCCACACTTCTCTATCTCCCAGGGCTCAGTATTATTCACCACCATACCACGAGTATTTCTCTATCTCCTGGCATTTCCTTTAAAACTTTCTTTTTTCTTTCACTTAACAAAAGAATTTATACCTGAACTATAAAACAAAGTGTATGTGCAAATGAAAAAGATCATGATTTGGAAGATGGCAACCATTTTATATATTCCTCTCTATAGATATACGTATGTATTTCATGTAACTAGACTTGGATAGTAAACTGTATATTCACTTCTGCTTCATGGGCGTTCTCTGGGTAGGTAAACACTGTAGGTCTTGTCATGTTGTGATCTCAAAATAGATGAAAAAAGTTTGGTAATGTGCTTTTTTTTTTTTTTTTTTTTTTTTTTTTTTTACAAACATCCCACTACTTTTGAAATGTAACTTTCTTCTTTTTTTTAATGAAGGCGTCTGTGCTTTTATTTTCTAGGTTTTTATTTCCTGACTTGAACACTGGTTCTATCTTGGCGAGGCTTTTGAGACTGTTGACTTGGACCTATGGTTGTCTGAACTTTTTTTGCAGTATAACTGTGATTTGAAAACATGGAGCTCGATGCTGCTAATGCTTACTACTGCTTCAAAGTTTGTAGTTCCCACCTTAATTTTTCCTTTTTCTGTACTAATAAGCAAATCTTATTAAACGTAGTTGTATGACGCTGTGAAACCTTGTGGTCTTTTGCATGGCATCCTTTCCCATCTCTGTCCCCTTATGTACCAGAGAGCTGCCCAGTACTAACTTTGCATTACGCCCCTGGCAACTTAACACATATTCATTCATCTGCTCTCTCTGTACAGTGGATTCATTCTTGAGATTCAGATGGTGAGGCAGTGATGAACCATCCATCATGAACTGTTTCTTTATCTGACAAAACATTTTCACCACAAGGTTTGTCAAGTAGCTGTTCTGGAGCTTTCAACTGAATCACACAAGCTTCCTCGGGAGTGAAACTGAAGTATTTTACTTTGAAAATCCATCTGTCTGAAGAGCATCATTTCAAAAACTGGATTTTTTTCTTCCCTTGAGTTCTCAAATTCAGATTCAGCAAATTCAAGTGTCTCGTATTAAAAATAAATTATATTAAAGTTGCTTGAATATATTCAATTTTAATTGAATTGACTCACCTTCTGATTTAAGATTAAAAGAAAAAAAAGTTGCTCAAAGCAGATCGATAAAATTCAGACACTAAAATTCAAGGTGAAAAAGTCATCACAGCAACTGGAAACCCCACATTCTTCGATTTTCTATCCAACCCTGTGAACCTGAAAAGTTTCTGATACCGTAGAACTTGAACTTGTCTTGAAAGAATTCAAATATTTTCAAATTGATAGTTTTTAGAGATACAAGTTTAGCAGTATTTAAATTATAATATATATTCAGCAGTGATTATACAATGAGGTATTTGGTTGCTTATAAGATTCCAGTTCATCATGGCGTGTCTCTGCTTCATACAATTTTCCACTTTCCTGAGCATTTGAAAGACTTCTATTCATGCCGTTTTAAAAGCTAAGATTTGAAGTTCAGTCTTGACCTTGGAAACTGAAGCAGTCTAAAGTCACCACAGGATCAATGTAGTAACTTCAATTGGTCAAGAATCAGCTCTGAGTCTCAACTTTAAGGCCAATGTGGACGAAAAAACTATCTGCTGCAGTGTCTGCATCCTTTCCTAACATTTTCCTTTGTAGAGTACGAGTGTGTAGTGTAATAAAGTAGGAAGTGGTCCTTTAATATGTATCTCTGTGTCAAGAGGTTCATTGGCATCTAAATCAGTATTATTATTCTTGGATGTACAACCACGCCATCTACTGGCCATCGCCAACAACATACAAAGAAAAAACAGATGTAGTTCAAAGGTCTGTAGAATTTATTACAATTCCACGATCATAAACAAAAAGCAGCAATTACAGAAATATGTACAAGTCTATTATTCTTTTAAAATACTTGTGACAGGTTTCAGGTACCAGTTTCAGCTTGGCCCCATGTTCAGTCTCTGTAATGCTGCTTCAAGTGCAGTGCTTTCCCAGGCCTTTTTTTTCCTTTTTTTTTTTACAACTGGACACCACACAGATCCAATCCTCCACCAAAGCCTCTCGATGGCCACAGCTCATGTGAGTAGATTCTCCTGAAGATGGTAAAAACTAGTGCCACCTGGAGGCTGGGAGTCATTTTGTTGAGCACTAACGGCTCCTGAGCTCAGCAGTCACCAGTGTGCTATAAAAAGCCAGAACACTGATGACATCCTGTGGTTTCTCCAGTGAGCCTGGCACTCTTGCCCTGGTTCCCTTTGTCATACAAAAACATGTTTGTATCTATCAGTCAGAGAGGTGTTGACAGGCGTGTCTGGGTACAGCAGTGCTTTTAAGACTCTGTGATGAGGGGTGGGGGGGTAGAGGGGTAGATAAGGAGGTCCAACTGGGTAATGGCGTCTGAAGCGGTGTATACTTTGGCAATGCAACGTCAGAGGAGGGCAGTGTGCTGTAAGGATAACTAGAATTATGATACACTGTTTGCTTGAGAGCAGAGTAACATCACTGTGCAGTGGTGAGGCTGCTGTTCACCAACACTGGAGACATGTGTCGTTAATGGTATATCATCATCATCATTATACCTTATATTCTGTTAGCGGTTTTGTAAAACGTTTGTTGGCAACCTGGTCGGTTGCTCTAAGCAAGGAATTATGAGATTTCTGACAACATTCAGAAACATCTGAAGGAAATGTTTCAACACTGTTACAGCAGACCAGTGGGTTGTGGAGCACTAAAATATAGATTTAGTTCTTATTTTAGTTATTGCTTTGGGACATGTACTGTAACTAAGAGCTATGAGTGACTCCTTATGGTTAGCCTGTTTAATGGTGTGGGGGTGGGCTTGGGAGTGGGACAGATAATTGCAGCAGTGGGCGGGTCTCCTCAGGCTCTGACCAGGACCTGCTTGGCCAGCACATGGAGGCAGCGAGGGGTGTTACTGCAGGGAGTGCATGAAGCTGTCCAGGTTGTACTCTGTGTCATACTGCTGCTGGTCCCACAACTCTCCCAGGCCGTCCAGCACCGACTTCATCGAGGCCTTCCCTGAGGTCGATGCCGTCTGCTCACCCTTCTCACCCTTATTGTCCTGAAACACATTTATACACCAGGAAGTTAAGCCCAACGTGATGATCAAGACATGCACGAGGAAGTGTGTATATCAGTGATACATAGCAATGTCAGCTACCAGGCTTCTGTCAGATGGTTTTTTCTTATCAGGCTAAGTTGCACAAATGGACAAACATTCTGTTACACAAAAACAGAATAAACTCCCGCAGGGTTTTCACTCCTGATAATTCTCATCTCCCAAATCTTTTAGTTACTAAATGATGGTCAAAACCAGTGGTTCTCAAACTTTTTCACATCAAGGAGCCTAAACTGACACAAATTAGACCACAGACCCCCATCTGATAAGATTTTAGCTTTTAGATGTTTTATTACAGAATGTTTGAAACCCATGACCAAAATATTGTACATTCTGTGTTTGTATTATTTATGGATGGAATTATAGGGAAAATAAGTGATTCCCCTTCTCACTGGGGATCCCTAGGAACCCCCTCAAAGACACCTATGGGCCCCACTTCTCTCCTGTGTGAATTAGCACCTCTGTTCTATTGCTCTGAAATTTGAAGGTCTATTTCTTAGAAATGTGCAATTCTTTCTTCTTTCAACCATGGAAATCTTTGTTTAAGGTGAAGCAGGAAATCTCTGTTATAACCAGCTGCAGGAACCTTGGCCTCATTAACACCTGTACTAACATGTGATCTGCACCTGGATAAATTATCCAGGTAATGACATCTGATCATCAGTCCTTTCTATTTACACCTACATTAACCTGTTTTCCCTTTTCCAGAGACGATGTCCAGATACTTTTCCAGATATTAATATTGTTAATAACGGGTGTCTTTACACCCAATTTTACCAAGTTTAACAGATTAGGCTTTTGAGGAATACAGACAATAACCAGTTTACTTAATAGCATACGGTGGGGCCCAAAGGTCTGAGACCACTTGCCCTCAGACTCCACTGTATGCACGTACTCGATGTCAATACCAAATGTATGCTTTTTGTTTTTAATTGATTAAAAAAAATGACAAAGTTACTGTGTAATTTATTTTATTTTGTGGGATAATTTATTTTACCTTATCCTCCATTATTATAAGAATGATCAGACCACAGTGCCCATCATGAATTTAGGACACTTGTGAGTTACTCTCAACTTCCTAGAGTTGCAACCTGTCTCTGTCCAAAGCCTTTAGCAATGCAAAGACATTAACACTTTACACTGTGCTGACAGCAAAGACAAACTACAGTGTAAACACCTACATAACTGATATTGTGACAAAAACATAGTGAATTTAGCTCCCTGACATCTAGTCTGTGTCTCACCTTGTCGAGGGTGAAGAGGTTGAGGAGCTGGTCTGTGCCCATGCTTTGCAGACTCGTGTTCTCTTGGCTGATGATCGTGTTGGCGATGCTCATCTTGAATTTCTGCAGACCCATTATCTTCTCCTCTAGTGTGCCTCGTGTGATCAGCCTGTACACGTTCACAACCCGTTTCTGCACAAACACAAAAAATGCTGAATGTTAACAGCATGTATGAGACGTGTGGGACAGTCTGCCTCCCTGTCTGTTTCATTTTGGTGCATTTTGCTTCACTGGTTTCAGACAAGAGCAGCAATGTCATACAATCCAAGGCTGTTTAAAGGCCATATTTAATAATGCATGAAGGAAACACTGATGAACAAGTTACTTCCTATTGTGGCAGCTGCAGAAGCATCTCGAGTTCAGCATCATCTTTATGCAATTTAAATCTATCAAAGCAAATGATGATCCAGATGCAAACAGTAGTAGTCAATGACATTGCTAATATGTGGCTGTGTGTGTTCTTTATTCTGCTGTATGCCAAGTGTATCCAACAACAGTACCTGTCCTATCCTATGGGCTCTGTCCATGGCCTGCAGATCCCTCATGGGGTTCCAGTCATGTTCCACAAACACCACAGTGTCTGCTCCTGTCAGGTTCAGACCCAGACCACCAACATGGGTGGTCAGCAGTAGCACGTCAATGGATGGGTCATTGTTAAACCTGAGAGAAAAAAGCCAAGGGTACAGGATCAGACTTTAGTAGAAGCTCACAGTCACAATTAAGTTATTAAATAAATCCATTTGTTGATGGTAAAGCGATTGTATGACCTGGAGACGATGGAGTGGCGCAGGCCGGCCTGCACGCTGCCATCTAGCCTCAGGTAAGTGACAGTTGGCAGTTTGGGTTTCAGCAGGTCATGCTCCACAATGTCCAGCATACTCTTCAGCTGACAGAAAATCAGCACACGATGCTGGGCCACCACTGCCTCAGTGCCCCCCTCCGATCCTCCACCTCCACCAAGACCACAGTCCAACAATAACTGGAGAACAGAGGGTGTAACAAGTTGATCATCAGGGAATGTCTTCATTAAACACAATTTCTTTAACACGCATTCATTTTCATTTAGTCTCAGTTCATTTCATGAAGGTAATGTGTGATAAAAAGAAAACAACTAAGTGTAACTATTTGTAACTTGTCTTCTTATTGTGATGGGAAAGATTGAAACCATCATATGTGCGCTCTCATGTAACCTAATTTTAACCCCTTTGTAGTTAATACTGAACTGACAGTTCCAGTTAGAGCTGAATTGCCCTCGACTGTGGTGAAGGAGTATTTCTTTATCTGCATTCTTGCCCCGCATATCTTGTTTTTCCTTCTGAGAATTTACAACTACCTGTCTGTGCAGCCAGACATCAGAAGCTGCCAACTAGGGGAGGATACTCCCACATCTTTGTTTGCTGTGGTATAGGATGCTGGATTGATCTCTGTATAAGTGCTGAGCCCATTTGCAAATGTTATATTTGAATGAAACCCATAAAGACAGACCTAAATCTTGATTCTTACTTCAGATTTTCCACAACAATGTGAAGCATATTCTAAACTCCGGCCCATACGGGCAGCAGTGATGTGGTGTAGCTGATGTGAAAGCAGACATTCAGCATTACCTGTTTGAGAGCAGAGAGTTTGGGCGCATGCTGAATGTCCCGTAGGCTGGAGTTTTGACTTGCCAGCTGCTCAGAGATGCGTTTGTACTCTGGATGCTGCACAGTCAACACCAGGCTCGGGTGGTTACACAGCTTTCGCAGGTACTGCAGCGCCTGAAGAAATGTAGATATGAAGGACAATGTGACTGCATGGTGAGAATGAGGAACATTTATGAAAAGATAAAGGCATACACAGTATTAACAAGGAATGCTTTGATTCCAAACCACTACACATCTGCTCTGTAAGACAAACGTTTTCATCCAAGAAAATTATTGGAAAGAATGGAATAGAAAAAATTATTGGAAAGAATGGAATAGAAAAACTATTTCTAAGAAAAACCACACTTGCATAATCACTTAAAAAGGTAACTTGGAGTTTTTGAACTCTAGTAACACTATGAAGCAGTTTTTCATGAGTTACTCCCTGTTTTGGTTGTCTTGAGCACAAAGGAGGAGGAGGGAAATGCACTCAACACATTTGTTAGAGCTCAAGGACACACTCTAATGCATTTTGGTAAGTACCCTCCACAGGGCACATTAAGCTCTTGTTGTCGAGCAGATTTACATGTGACGTCCGCAAGAAATAAACATTTAGAAAAAAATGTGCACCTGGAAGACATGGCCTGTGGCCTTCAGTTTGGGCTTTTCCTCCTCTTCTGTAGAGGCAATGGAGATGCTGTCCTCCACACTGGCCTTGGCTCGAGACTTTGCAAAGTCTTCATACAACTGAACCTGCGGGTGGTGAGACAGCAGAACATGTTGTTATACTCATTATCCAGTTGTAGTACCTGTGGAAAATAGTCACAATGCTAGAATCATCTAGTAGAATCATCTAAGCGTTCAGCCCATTTACAGTGCATTAAACTTCCATGGAGGCCTTTAGCTGGACTAATATAATTTGCTACTTTAGGTCAATAGAATAAAACATTCTATATAATTATATCCTTCAGCAAGAAAAATGCAAAGCTGAGGCACTTGAACAAGAGGTAAAATATGCAGGTCCCCAATGTTAATAGTGACAGACCAGCTGTTTGCTGTGTGCACTGGAATTGACCATTAGATTAGAGTCATTAGGGGCCAAGAGTACCTGTAGAGGACTCAGGTTGCAGTAATAGTCCTGAATGATTTTAGGAGGAAGGTCCTGGAGGACATCCTCCTTCATCCTCCTCAGCAGGAAGGGTAGCACCTGCCGATGTAGGGCCTCCATTGCCAGGACACCTACAGGGACAAACCAGTATTAAACACAGTTAATGTCCTCATCTTAATTAGCCTCATAGTAGAAATAGGATGTTGTAAAAGTAATAAAGAGAGAAAATGCCAGTTTTTATATACAGACAGATAGCTGACATACCTGCCTCCTGTTCCCTTGAGGAACTTTTGGCGTCACGACTAGCCAGGATCGGTTTACCGTAGCGAGCAGCAAACTGCCGCTCTGTTCCCAGGAAGCCCGGCATGAGGAAGTCAAACAATGACCAGAGCTCCAGGACGTTGTTCTGAGGATAGACAGAGATTAAATAGCCATGATTTGAATAACAGACACACAAGGAAAGAACTACAGTTTCAAAGACCAATTTCAAGTGAGATCTAAGATGGCGTCCAACCTGAATGGGTGTTCCTGACAAGATGACTCGGAAGTTGGCAGCCAACTGCTTAATGGCTTTGGAAAGTTTGGTTTTCCCATTCTTGATGACATGACCCTCGTCAAGAATACAGTAATTGAATTTGATATTTCTGAAAAATTAGAAGAGACACTTTTACAACAGGATGCCTTCCTCCCAAACACAAAACAGACTCATTATAACTGGAACAGTACTCACCTAAAAAAGTCAATGTCATTCCGTACAACATCATAAGAGGCTACTATGAGATTGTGTTTTTTCACTTGGTGTTGCAACCTGAAAAAGTAAATGTTCATTCAGCTTCACCGATTCTCTCAAGAGGATATCAAATTGTTATGTTAGCTGTACCAAAATGTAATATACAATAATGGACCCAATCTGTATCAGAAAACAAATTATTCAGATTTAAGAAAACGTAAAAATGAAGTAAACTGACTAATCCTCACCGCATTCGTTCTGTAGGAGGCCCCGTGTAGTGCAGCGGGTTGAGGTATTCTTTACTGCAGAACTTGCCCACTTCGTCCACCCAGTGTCCAGTAAGTGTGGGGGGACATACGACCAGGGAGGGCATGGGGCTGCAGTCTGCAGCCTTCGTCTTGGCATATTCCTGAGCCCTGAACAGACATACCACAAACAGGAGGCTGAGTCAGGTTTACTTACACAGCAATTAAAACATAAAAAAGAACCAGGATGAAGATGGGATCAAACAAGTACATCAAAACTGGGACACATCACTGTTGATGTTCAAACTGTCAAACCCTGTTTTGTCTGTTGTTTGACAGTACTGCACGTAGCATTTTAGTCATCAATGAACAACATCTTATACAATGCTTTTTCATCGTTTTCCTTCTCTAGCCAAACTTTGCTTTTTAACTGTGGTTCAACTTCAATGAGAAATTTCATCTGTTGACTTGCGATAGTATTTGATGTCAATACACGTAGATGACTGACAAGAACTCAGCCTCCTGTAGAGATAAGGTTTTTCTCTGCATTGCCAATTGTTTATATTAACTTGAAAAAATTAGGAAAGAAAGCATCAAGTCTTAACCTTAAACTATGTTGAAGTGGTTAGGAATCCTCTGATTTTGAAACAGCAGTAGTATTAGTAATATATCAGTATGCGACACTGATGACATGTAAAAGATTAAAGCTTAAATTAATGACAAACAGGTCTTACTGTTCAATTATAAATGTTTTTAATCAAGATAGACACATGTTCTATAGTGAACAGCCAAGTGTGTGATGTTGCTTCTAAATGGTTCAATATATGTTGTCAAAAGACAGAGGAGCTGAGTCTGTGTGCTGATTCAAAGTAGTTGAACCATATCAAACAGTACTACCAGTAATAGTGTTGTTTGGACTGGGTACCTGAGGTAGTGATCTCCTGCCAGAATGCAGATGGATTGCAGCGTCTTGCCGAGTCCCATGTCGTCACACAGGATCCCATGCAGCTTGTATTTGTTCAGGAAGGACAGCCAGTTCACTCCATCCTGCAAGATGAAACAGAGACTTTTCTCCTGAGTCCGTTAAAGTTGAGTTGTTCAGGACCTGGCAGCGGTGTGTTGCCCCACAGTAGCAACAATGGGAGAAGCTTTTAAACTGGATTTCTGCACTGCTCCATTAAAGAGATTGATGGCTGGTCTCAGCAGAGCTGCAAGCAACCAACACTTCCAGCCAGAACCCACACACATACCCAATCTCCATTTGACAGATTTATATTTGCTCTGTGAGGAAAACAATGTTGTCAGTATCTCTGTTGTCTACATCGCCAGCCTGCAGCATTTAAAACAAAACCTCATTCCTGAATCTGACAGAAAAATGTTCGGTCTCGAGGTGAAGGGGCAGGTCAGACACAAAACACTAAACTGTTCCAACATTTGATTAAATGTGTAAAAACACAGGCTGTTAATCCTTCTTTTACTGCTCGAGGGGGCATCGCAGAGATGCAATGAGCCCAGAAAACTGGCACACACCTGCTGGTACTTCCTGAGCTCAGCCTTAATGGGCACAGGGATCTTATAGTTCTCCAACTTTCTTCCATCTAGCAGTTGCTCCAGGAAGTGGCGTTCTCTGGCTTTCTGACGGATGAGGTCAGCAGACATGGCTGGAGGGTCTGGTATACCCGCCTAGTAGATAAGAGGAAAAACTGTTACCTTCAGAAGCAGAACACTTAATAATGACATGATATCAGTGCATTAAATAATGACTGGTCTGTTTTGTTTGATTAAAAACGCATGGTAGCCTTCTGTTCAGGGTTGGTCTTAAAAAAGTTAATTTTCTAATTCAAATCAATCTTCATTTGAATAATATAAATTCATAAAATCCAGAGATCATCTTTTAATATACGTCTTTTACAGTCTATGGTCCTTGAGTCTCATCACCACCCTTCCAGCACCATGAGATCTGGCGATGTGAGAGACAAAAACATGGCAGACATGGCTCCACTGAGGGCACCAGTCTAGAGCCTTAAGGCAGATGTATGGTTGCTATTCAGATTAAAAAAAACTCTGAAGACAGCGAAGAGTTGGACAAAATCATATGCAAGATGAGCAAGAAGCCGGTATCGGAAGAAGCTGCGTGAACCAGCAATGCACGTTACATGCCTAGCTGTTATTTTTTGAGATGTGTGTCCAAACTGTTGGTCACGTTAAATTAAACAGTGAATTAATGTAACTGCATTGCGGTCCATTCATTATGTAAACATTAATATCTTTAATAATGCACCAGGTTAGAGGAACAATTTACAGCATTGGTTCTGAAAATCTCATTCAAGTAAATGTATATTTTAACTGAAATATCTCTAACTGAATCAATATTGAATCGAATTCAGGAAATCAGTGGCCATACAGCCCTTTCTGTTTCAGTGCTCCTACCTCTAGTGGCAGCAGCCGGATGAGTGTAGCAAAACACTGGGTGGCCATGAAACGAATACTATCACTGGGGTCGCTCATACGGCCCAGAACTGGTACAACCAGCAGCACAATGTAGGGTATGATGTCCACATCCAGCTGCTCCATCACACCTGGTGAGATGTTGGTCAAGGAAAGTATTGTACAGAAATTATACAGCAACAACTGCAGGTGCCCACACCTTCTTCACCCTAAGAGCATTACTGCACATTTGTTATGAAATAAATTGCTCTAGGTACAAGAGCATGACAATGGAATCTGAAGATGTCAGTCTGTGAAGGATACAGGCTAAAGCCTCGATGGCACCTTCCTGTTTGGTGCAGTCATCAATAGCAGCTAACCAGGGGAGTACACACTCAAGGAAACTGTTCATGGTCTCCAGCGTGGCTATCTTACTGAGCACACCCACACAACGTGCTGCCATGTGACGCACCGCTGTGTACGGGTGCTGCAGGCAGGTGAACAGATGTGATAGGTGCTCCAATAGCTACAGTACACCACAAAGAGAGCAGATACATTTGATCAAGGCTCATTCAAGACTTAAAGGCTTAAATTCCAGTAGTTGTCCCAAAGTATGAGAGAACAATCTTGGTGAGTCAGTCTTACCAAAGGTTTGAGTTCAGAAGCCATGGCCCCAGCCATGACCTCCAGAACTTGCAGAGAGTTGACCAGTTCTTGGGCTGCAGTGTCTCCCCTCTCCAGCTGGACCTGCCTATCTAGAACACACAAGAGACACACACTTATCATTACTGACTATATGCAGACCATTTGGACAGTCTCACCTTTAATTTGACCAGGTTCATGTCAATACAGAAAGAATAGTGTTGGAGATATAGCAGTTTTAAGACCTGGGCCCAAATTGCAAGGGTTCAAAAGTAATTGCACATTTGCCTACTAAATGTTTCTTGAGCAGCCGTGTGTCACTTCAACATTATTTCATGCATGAAACAGCTCACAAAATAGGTTAAAATCTATCAAAGACAGTTGATTTGCCAAAATCAACTGTTGGATCTCGAAAAGCAGGTGTGCACAGGAAAACAAGAAAATATCAAACAGGCTGGTCGACAGAGGAGCACAAGTCTTGTGTACAAGCAGAAAATTATTGCATGGTGAGGAAAAAAACCTTCCTGGCAGCATGAGGTGGACATGTTTCCTTTTCAACGATCAAGATACTTCATGACCAGAAACACACAGACATTACCCAAAGTCATCACCTCGTTTTGTAATGGCCTGAGCTGTTGTGTGGGCTGTTATGATAAGAAGGCTACATCTCCCACACAGATCTTTCTATATTAATGTAAAACTAAACAAATAAAAGCTGAGACATGGCAATTTAGTGTAGTATCCATTATTTCATTTCAAATTAAATGTGCTGAAGGTCAGAGCCTGATGAACAAAAATTGGGTAACTTTTCAAATACCTTAAGTTCTGGACTGTACATGAGTATCCACATCAGTACACAAATGAGTGGATTATCTTGAGGAAGTAAAGTGAACTGAATAGACAAAGACAAAGCTGATATTGATCATAGATATTTATACTACTATAAAAACTACAAGTTTAAACTGAATTTTGGAACTAATTGCAACAGTTAGCAGCATTCAAGCTGCATTAAAGGCCAGAAGACTACAAGCCAATTATGATGCATTTTAATACTTGCTAGAAGAGTATTTGACCTTTTTACAAAACACACTAGAAACAGTAGAGAGGAAGTTGCTATTTGGCAAAAAATAAGTTTTTAAGTGTAAGATTCAAAGATTCAAATCTGATTAAACCAATCAGCATACCAATGCACTGATTTGCAGTCACTGCTGTCCTGAGTGGTCCCACTGTGTTCTCCCAGAGGTACGGCAGAGACTTGGTGAGGTCTACACCAAAGTGCCTGGCAACAGTTGTTAAGGAAAACTCTGCCCCTCTTCTTTGAATAAGAAATGGTTTTTTGCTCTGAAAGGAAGAAAAACATAAAAGGGGTAAACACAACATGTAAACAAAGCTAAATGTGAGGTAAATGTTTTCAGTAACCCTCTGTACCTCGTCATTATCAGTGCTGATAGTGCTGCCAGGAGGAAGCTCTGTGGAGGGGGTCTTTGGGGCTTTAGGTGCTGGGCCCCTCTTACTAGTGATTGCAAATGCTGCCCTTTGGTGGCGGTATAGTGTAATGATGCCGCGGGTTTTGTTGACCATGTGATGCATGCCGTCTTTCTCTAACCCACCACCTAACAGCATGAAAAATAGAGAGTGAACAGCATGCAAGCAAGCACTTCTTCATTGTTGACACATGATCAGAGGGCTGTTGTTCTTTTCTTTTTACAAATGCAGAAAGCCAAACTCACCATGTCAATTTTGAAATCCTGCTGTAAACTGACAGATTATTTAAAACGAATGAAAATAAGCCAAAGCTTCAAGGGCTCTTACCTTTTGCATTTTCCTGTGTGGGGGGTACGGGGCAAGCAGATGAGGGTGTGACCGAAGAGTCCACGCAGGCCGAGGCACAGAGGTTTTTGATAATCTTGGGGTTGGGGCATGGTGAGCGTCCAGCACACTGCTGCAACAGCTTGGCTATAAAAGAAGCAGCATAACCCTGAATCAAGGTGTTCTCTTCTCGCTTGATGGCCTCCATCAAAGGCCTGACCAGTGGGTTGAGCTTGTCAGGAAGCACTTGCAGGTTAATCACCGCACATGCCGTGAACATGTGGACGCGCAAATGCAGCTGCTGCCATTCTGTGCTGGTCTCCAGCACTGTTGCCTGAGCCTGCTGTCGTTTACTGTCCAGCGCCTGCCACTGTTTAGACTTCACATTCAGACCTGCTGTTGACTCTGTAAAGATGGTGGTTACCTAGGGAACAAGCGAGAGGAGAAACTGAGTGACTGGAATGGAAACGATCGGTTACAGAGTGCAATATCCATTAACCTCTGGAGCTGAGAATCAGCTGTACCAAACCGTTAATACCAAAGCTGTCAGTTCAGGAAATAAAAACCTTGACAGAAAACAAATTACAGTTGGACAAGATTGAAAACTCATGATAATAGCAGCCAAATACAGCCACCTACTAAATGTGATGACACTAAAACAACAATGAGTTGTTTCATACAGTTACAATGGACAGATTGTTCCAATTAGTGGTGTAATGATATGCAAATTTTCTGTCTTCTTTCAATTTATTTTTTATAAAGCTTTAACATTAAACAGTAAGACTCGATTGATGATTTTTCAGAAATTACAGTGCATCTGAAGAGCTAAATTACACTGCTAACACCCAAAACTGGACGTTAGTTATTGACACAGGGTGAAGTTAGTAGGTTCACATGCCTGTTCAAAAACATCACATATAGTTCTGCTTTAGGTTTGATCTATCTCTTTCTCCATTTACCTCATTTCTACTGAGTTCAGGATGAGAGTGGGTGGTGAAAAACTTCAGCTGCATATGTGTTCATATGTATGTGCATGTGTGGACTGACTTACCAGTTCATTGGCTTGGTCAATGGTGAAAACACTACAATTGAGGCGGTCTTGAAGGTCTATTTGGGCATCAGCTAGCAAAGCAATGAGCTGCTTGCACTCATTCTGCATGCGTGTGAAGGGGATGGCGATCTCATCATAGTACAACTGCTCAGACAGAATTGCCAGAAGACGAGGCTGTACCATGGATGACACCACCTGACAATCCTAAGAGAGAAATTGGAAAAGGTAAATATGCCTCATTCTGTTATGCTCATACCACATCCAAAAAGTGGTAAAACAATTTATAATGATTCGACAATAAACAAACTCAATGCTCAAGCTATTCACCTTCTGCAGTGCAGCCCACTCGCAAAGCACCAGAGCCACAGCTATGCGCTGCAGGGCAGACTTGGAGTTGAGGTGGAAGAGCAACAGATGGCCTAAAGACTCAGCTGGTCGGATCTCCTGAGATGCAGCGTTGAGCTGAGGGTCACAGATACACCTACACAGAGCCCCGAGCAATCTGGATTACAAAGACACAAAGAGAGCAGGGAAACACCGTTAGGACTGTTAGCATCTTTAAAAACAATTTTTCAAGAAATTCAAGATTTTCTTTGAGAGAAAGTCACAAGTTCACCTAAAGATAACTTTTTCCTTTTAAAGCAACAACCCAAACTTACTTGGCAGCCATGAGGCGAGCTCGCACCACTACATAGTCCCTTGTCACTGGGTCATCTGTCACCGTCTCTGCACCCGCTATGTACTCCTGGACCGTTTCCTTCACCTGATTGGTCCCCTGACGTGCCTTTGTACCAGCCTTGTCCTGTTGCATCAGCAAAACATTATTTATTACGCCTTAATTAAATGGAGTTCATCATAAATGTTGCTTTGGGCAGGCAAAGTAACAAGCAGCTTATAGCCATCACTGAATTAACATGTGTTTCTCCTTCTCTGTTTAAATACAAGCATGTTGAATCAGTTAGGTCCATGCAGGGTAAAGCTGTTCTCATCTCTAACTTGCATTCATTCTCCCTCAGCAATCAGCCCCACCCCATTAAACAAACTGACCGTGACTTCCCTGCTGTATTTTTATGCTCCTTACAGGAGCTCCTCTGGCTTAAAAACCAAACATAGAAGCCCTGGCTGTGAGATTCTTCTGTTACCTTCACACTGTCTGCTAGTCTGCCACCTATCAACCTCAGTGAGGTGCATTAATTTTGTCTGATGTGAAGTCACTTGCATCATTTTGGTAAACTCTGCAACAGAAACCCCCTACCATCCTCACAGACATATCACACTGACATTACCACTGCACACCCACACAAATAGTGAAGATCAGCTGAGACAAGAAGTATGTAAGAATAAAAGTACAAGTCTGATTGCTATGAACCTTGGAGCGGGCTTTCACTTCCAGCAGCATGTTCAGGTCAATAGGAATGTGTGAGGCCTGCATCATGAGACAGAGCCAGGCACCCATCCATGGACAGCTGGCTGCTACCACGTACTGATGTGGCGCCTGAGACAGCAGCTCCATCCACACCTGCACACAAGGACACGCATTAACAAAACAAAGCAAAATCCAAAAGGTCATTCATATAAAATAAATGAAAAATGAGACTTGTGAAAGTGAAAAAAAAAATTAAAAAAAATAAAAACTTAAAATGGAATTGTAATGTTTCTTTTTTTTTTTTTTTTTTTTTTTTTTTTTTTTTTAAAACAATAGTCATAATGTAGGTCAACTTATTAGTTTTACCTCTCAGAGGAAATTATAATGTGGGTAATGCAACAAACCTTTTGAATCAGTTCAAGGATTTCCTCATTGCTCTCCAGTATGCAGGACTGGAAGATGTGCCGGAGCATATCTTGTAGGATGGGGTTGATCCACAATGCACAGCTCTTAACAAAATACATAAACCACATGCATGCTGTAAACAACTGTTATCATCACATCGTTTTTGCATTCAGCCTAGTGTCAGCTGCTTTCAGCTCTTTATCTGTTTGCTTCTCTCCTACTCTCTGTGCTCACATATACAATATTTTAATTCAGCTGAATTCCGAAAAAAGCTGTTATCTCTTTCTGTTTGACAGAAAACGGAACAAGTTTGAAATAGTGACTGAAACGTGGCCCATTAAATCCTGATTTTATAACCATGATGTGGTGACTTACAAAAAATCACAAAATCACCAAAACACATAAATTAAAGACAAAGACTGCTGTGATTTCACCTATATTTACTTGTATTGATCACTCAGAGATAAAGCTTAAAGTGACAATATCTTTCTTATTTTGTCTCTTGAACAATGCACAGCCTCTGTCTGGGTACCAGGCTGCTGCTCCACCTCCCTGCCACTCACTGAACAAACTGGACGCAGAGAGAGGTGTGCCTCTCGCTCATGGAGCAGTACTGGCGACTCTCCTCCAAGGAAAGTAGCTTAGGTTTGTCCAAAATTGTGCTAGGTTTGTCATGGTGTGCTTTTCTGAAAAAGAAAGAAGTTGCTGCAGGGGTCTGAAAAGTTGAAAAATCTAGCTACAAATGTGCCAAGTTGGCAACACTGCTTATTCACCCCCCATTCATTTTGACAGCAATGACCAATGTGGAAAGTTCAATTCTCGGCCAGCCAATCAGCAGTGTAACATCATGACTCAGTGACGCGGCATTCAGCTGACCAATGGTGAAATTTGATCACTCACTTAGTCACTGACTTTCTCAGCCCTGCTGTTACAGTCCAGCAAAAAAAATGTGAATATAACATTGGTTGTTGTGAAGATAAATAAGCCAATTGTATAACACTTTGTTAAAACAGTATGTAGAAAAATTAACAAGTATTTTGTCATACATAACATGAATTTCCAATACCTCTAGGTCAAATTTACCTGGTCAGCCTTAGACAGCAGAGTGAAAAGGGTTTCCAGTGCTGCACGTCGTACTGATGATATAGTGTGTCTCAAGAATGGCCAAACCCGAGGAACCAGAACTGTTAGTGACTGCTGCATGCTAGAGTAGACAAAAAAAGTGCATCAATATAAATATACAGTCAAGAAAGGTCATGAAACACTGTCATTTAAAAAAAACCCCAAAAAAAACAAACAAACAAATTGAATAAAAGATTGCATTTTTACAAGGTTACACACTGAACCTCTGCTTAGAATCAAAATTCAGTGCTCATCTAATTGTGTGTTGTTTGTAGCAAGTCTGTTCAGAGGTGGCCATGCATTGTCTGACTGTGCGCTTTTATGTAAATAAAAGATCAAATGAAGTTCTGCCAACCTCCTGGCACAATGGTGAGACTCGACTCCATAACCACACAATACAGAGGAGATCATTTGCCTCCCTTCAGCTTAATGACAAAACAGATGAGCAATAGTCAGCTTCTATATGCCAAGGCCACAATGTGCATAACTGCATTTGACATGTCACACAATCGCATGTCTTCTAATCCACCGAAACTTTAACATACTCGAATCAGATTTGGCTACAAATCTGCAAACTTATCTCATGAAAACACTGGACTTCACCATAGTTTCAACATGCATTGCACAATACAACCCCCCTCATGGCACTCTTCACTGTTTCCCTTGCCCTTTTTTCCCCCCCCTCTTCTCACACTTCACTGTTGCTTGGAGTCAGCCAAATTTATCCAACAGGTCATTCATTTGACTTTTATGCTATGAATCCTTCTGTTTCAGGAAATTTGTATTTTGAAATCAACATCTATTAATTTCTCATGGTAAAACATTACTACTGTACTTTCTAGTTTACACAGCTACAACCTATGAAATCTAGCATCTATCTTATGTCAAATTACTTCTTTTTACTAAAGGTCACACCAATTTTACAACATGTTGTGCTGTCAGTGAAGTGACTTCCTCACTCAGTTACAATACAAATCTCTTGGAGTCTCCTATTATTGAAGAAATCAATAAGAATGATTTTCAGACTGCAGTATTTATTAAATTACCTTCAGAAACTAACCTGCACTGTCGGACCTGTGGATAGGTGAGCAGTGATGACAGCAATGTCATGATGCTGTTGGTGGAAGCAGTGAGGTCATCCAGGTCTAAAAGAGCATCCCATAGTGTGTTCACTATAAAGGGTACCTGAGAGAGACAGAATTTTACAACTAAAGTAAGACCTCTGAAAATAAAACCTGGATGTGACACACTACAACAGAGACTAAAACTCAGTTGTTAATGGTACTCTTTGCCTCTCTGACCTTATTTGGCAGTAGCTGTACCAGGCCTTCTACCACAGGGATGAGGGATGCAGCTGCCACGGCTCTGACATCATCATCTAGGTCCTGCAGGCCTACAGTGATGGCCGGGAGCACCCGGGGCAGTAAGACAGAGATCAAGTCCTGAAAAACAGAATGGAAGAGACAGATGAAGATCACCACAAATGTATGGCTGTGAGATCAGAAAGAATGGCCTCTACAGTGACATCTCTCTATAAGGAGCACATATGTCCTACCCCCACAGTTTGTATTCATGACCATATGGCGCTCAAATCAAATACATTGTAGAACCATGCTATGCTTATTTCACAGCTCATCGTGTACACACAGAACAGGTGGTACCTGTCGGACAGCCAGGGCATATTTGATCCCTAGCAGCCCTCCATGACGGACTTCCCACTGGTCCTCTTTAAGCAGATTCAGCAGGACATCTACTGTCATGGAAACACCAGTTTCATTCATGTGGCGAAGGGCCACGCCAAGCGTCTGGGCACACGTTTCCCTGACAGGAGCCACCACCTGAAAAAGGGAGAGATGTATAAATTGGATTATATAAATTTAGGAGGACATCTAGTTAGACTCAGACTAGCTGGATAACTGGTTAGAATATATTTGGCAGACACTTGTCAAGTAGGCCAGTCAGCCACCATTTATATGACACATGATGCTGTTTGATTACTTATTCCTTACAGTGTGATATATTCATAACAGTGTCATTATTTTAACTCTCAGTGGAGGGCTTTGTATTACCTCTTATCAAGATGTACTAGTATGCCCAAAGGAGATTGTTAACACACCTTGAAACCAAAACTACACAAGGTCAATACACCGATTCATTTCAAGTCTGTTGTTGAACTAAATAATGTTTCAGAGAGTTTTTCACCCTGCCAGGGATAAAATTAATGACGAGACATGGGACGCAAGGGGAAAACACAAAATGACTACTTAAATATATATATAAAACTACAATGTCCCTTAATCTGCTCAACTCCCATTGACCATTGATTATGGTCATTTCTTTGTAATAATTATACATCAGTCAGTAACTTTTCCTCAGACATCCTGTTCAGTTTTCTGAACAAACAAAAACAAACAAACCTACCTCATCAGATACAAAATCCCCAAAGCGGTCTAGAGCGAAGACACAGAGGAGCCGGATGACCAGGTCCTCTATCCACTCCTGATGCTGCCGCAACATCTAAACCGAAAGACTTCATGTCATGTTCAATTCTCACCGATATGTTGAAAACCCTGAGGAGAAGGATAAAACATACCTGTTCTCCAGTGCTTCCCACCAGCTTTCCACCACCAGCACCATGGGACTTAAGGATTTCTCTAAGACCTGTACCAGCACCATGACGAACCTGTAAACAACCACATACAATACAATTTAATTTGTTTACATTACACAGCATCATATAAAAAGGTGGTTCTTTATAAGCAGGTTTTTACCATTTTGAGGGCAACTTAAAAAAGGATCAAAGTTTCTTTGGCTGTGTGTGTGTGTGTGTGTGTGTGTGTGTGTGTGTGTGTGTGTATTATATAAACAATCAATGTATTATATATAGATTATTCACACAAATTATGAGACTTAAATTTGGTAACAGGTCCCAATCCTGAATTTTTATGTTTTGGTGTTTACAACAGATTGTTCCTTTAACTCAGCCCAACTCCTCATGTTCAACTGTGTACTGTGTACTATCAGTTAAAATGAAGTATCACATCATTTAAAAAATGCTTTGTTTTTACCTCCCATGAAGGATTGAAGAGGTCATTGCATAGCTCCTCACAGAAACTCTCCAGAGGCCACTCATGTATCTAAAGACAATACAGCCGAACATCAATTTCACCTTTATAGAATTTGCACTGTTTATATATTGTCATTTATACCAGTCATAGAAATGAAATTGTTGAAAACTTGACATTAATGAGTTATTGGCTTCTTTTACCTCTTCTAAAAGATTGGAGTTATCTGGAACGTTGTCGATTAAGACTTTATGCTCTGTTGCCGGTTGGTCAATAACTACATTGGTGGTTTTTCTTCTTTTCTCTTCAGGTTCACCCTCAAAACTATCGTTACTAAAAGACAGAGAGATCACAAAGTAAATAATCTTATCTTCAGAACTAATCAAATTTACATATAAAAGTTCCAGATCTGTCAAGACGAAATGGGTCCAAACCTTGACAACAAAATACACATTTTGCTGTATATGAAGAAACAAAGATTCTTCAATATGTATAACTTTCTCTCAGACCCAGTATAATTATATCTACCTGGGTGAGTATTTCAAGAGATCTAGATGAAATATGACGATAACACTCTGCAACCATAGTCAAACATGTTGTAGATACACAGTATGCATAATCATACCTCTTTTCATTTGGATCCATGTCTCTGGATCGTTGTTTTGCCACTAGTTTAGCCATCCTCTTAGCCTTATTCTTCTGACGACTGCTCATGCCTGGCCGGAACTCTGAGTCAATCAACTCAGCAGCATGAATAGGCTGAAAACAAAAACAGTGGAGCTGATTATACATTATTAAACGAACATTGACATCATTGGATACACTTTAATATAGAACAGTACAGAATGAATCATTTAACAAATTAATTCTCTAGTATAAAAGAAAAACATGAATCTCTAAGTGGTCAATACTGCTTCAAGTGAACCTAACCCCCCCCATCCAAATCAACAGCGGCTCTTATAGACTAACTACAATCCCCCTGCTTATTCATGCACAAGTCATCTTATTGTTTTATACTGTACAGGACTTTATGCAGGCACAGACTGTCTGTTCATGAAGCCCCATACTGCCGGTTCCATTGCAGCTACCTGTGCCACACAAAAAGTTTAGAGGATTATTATTTGTGGCACATTTGACGAACGACATACCAATGAAGCAGATATATAAAAGGTGTTCACTGTACTGTATTATTACACTGACAACAATGACAGAACAATTTACAATGTGACCCAGCCCTTCCCAGTAAAGGCACACAGACAAAAAACTGGAAACACAAAAAACAACCAGGTTTGATTCATAACAGCTTGAGGAAAAAAAAAAAAACAACTGATTCACCAAAACCACTGTCAGGCCAAAGAAAAGATGACACAATCAACATGACCATTATACAGCTCTTTGAGCAGACATCCTGTTCAGACAAGCCTTAGTGCTACAATGCAAAAGGTGTAAATTAACATAACATGTCACGAGTCACATTTGTGCCTCTGCACTTCACAGCCTCTGTGTTCGCAACACAAGTCAGCCTGCCTCTCTGGTCTTTACTTCATTCAAGTTGGCCAGATAAGTTAGTTAAGGCCATGACCTTAAACCACCATATCACTCACTACTCACTACACAGCAACATTCAACTGTCCGACAACAGGCAGCCACTTCCTGCAACAAACTTCTGATTATCTTCACCTATTTTTAAACTTGAGTCCATCCAAGGCTACAGCATGCAGTAAGAACCACCAAAGGACACAAAGTGCATACTCAAAGAATTTGCTGAGTCAAAGCTAAGAGTTTAAATTTGAGACCCACTACATGGTTGCGGGAGCTGGATCCAGCTGTAGCTTTGCTTCCATGGGCTCTAAGACCAGTGGATTGACAGTTATAGTCAAGGTCCTCGTCATTGAACAGCTCCTCTGTGTCCATTCCAATAGCAGCACCCATGTCCAGACCCAACTTCTTCTGAAGAAGCTTCCTCTGGCGAGCCAAGCGTTCCTTAGGGTCCATCTCACCTGAGAACATATGACAGGAAGTCAGGGGAAAAGTTTAGATAGGGTGGAAAAATGGAGGAAGGGTACATTGTATCTGTGTGAGGAACATTGTGTGTGTGTGTGTGTGTGTGTGTGTGTGTGTGTGTGTGTGTGTGTGTGTGTGTGTGTGTGTACACACAATAGTGTCACTCTGGAGCTATATGCAGCTAGGAGGCAAACTGATTAAAGGTAGGGCCACAAATAAATACAGGAACAGTAGCAGAAATAACCCTGAAAGTCACCTAGAAGTTGCTAAATTTAGTAAACTTCAACAGCACAGGGCACCTTGAATTAGAAGTGAAAGCAAGTCACAGAGAAACAACTATTGGTACAACAATACAAAAAAAAAGACAAACTGACAAAATGTTCAAATTCAAATGACCAACAAAAGATAAGGATGAGTAGCTTTCCTTATTCAAATTATATTCAAAGTCATGACTACATAGCCCAGCTGGATGTAGGGATGGGTACTGAAACCCAATTTTAAAAAACAGGCCCTGCAGCTTAATTACTAAAGACCGCAGTATCGATAAGATCAGACGTTATTAGTTCTACTCTCGATACAGGGGAAATTAAGAAAATTAATTTCCTCTTCATTATTGCCACATAAAAATTATCTCGCACAATTTATCTCAGCAACTCTGTTTCTGATTTAGACAATAGTTTATGATGCATTTTCATCGATCCCACACACACACCTCTTGGTGACAAGGGCGGAGAGAACGAAACATTCAAAAGTGTGGTTACATTTCCCTGGAGTCGATGCTGACAGTGCTCACTGCCACAAGTGCAACAAGTCTTTTGCATGTCAGGGCAGAAACACGAACAATCTATCAAAACATCTAGAGAAGGTCCATCACGTACAGGCGGAGAAATGCAGTTTTGCCTAGCTCGTAGTTCATCTGTCGTCTCTCCAGATATGTTAAATATGTTAGCAGTCTGGAGGCCACACACTGAGTTAATTTATATGAACATGGGTTAATGATTAAAAGCAACCATTAATCAGAATGTTCAGAGCATCAACTGAACTGTCGTTCAGAAATTCCGTTTCAGCTTCAGATCACTCAGGGGTGGATTTAGTGATTCGGGGGTTAAAAGACTGTCGAAGAAAAAGTCCTGTAGTAGATCATTACATTCGTTTTACATTTCATCACTAAATCAGAGACTATAATAGTGATTTGTTCAAAATACGTCTGTTTCTTTTGCTGTAAAAAAAAAAAAAAATATTTCAATAGCCACATTGCGTATGATAGTGATTTTTCAAAAAAATAATAATGTTGGAGTTTGCTACCCAAGAATCTTAATTTATATACAGTACATACAAAAAAAACAATGTTAATTCTGTTTCTTTTTTTCCTATTAAAAAAGACAAAAAAAACCCCAAAAAGAACTAAAGTACCAGATCAATGAGCAGTATCAGTAAGAGTATTGGTATCATTAAAATCTATACCATTAAATTCATTAAAAAATGAAACCTAGGCTTTGCTGGTTGTGTGGTATTTCTGTTTGCATCAGAATCAGCTCCAGATATTAGTGGTGATGTTGCTGTAATCCCCTCTTCAGTTAATTACCACATATCACTACCTACAAGTGTGTGTAGTGATGGAGGTGGGGAGTAAACCTGGTGCACGATGTCATGACAGATTCCACAGGTTGGAAAGCGCAGACTTAAAACCTGCCAATTTGCAAACCTACACAAAAACTGACACAATGGAACATTCTCTTATTTTTTTTTCAACGTGTGTGTAAAAGTGTGCTAATTTTGATGTTACTACAAACCAGTTTTGTCATCCTGTAGCTCAAACTCTGCCCCAGCAGATCCCAGCAGAGAGGCCCCATGTTTGAGTAGGCGGGAGATGTCAAAGTGGTAGAAACTCAACCGGTCACAGGAGGAGTCCTCTGGTGACAAGTCTTCACAAGACTCTACAGGAAACAAACAAACAAGTCTCATCACTGCACATTTGTCCCTCTACCTACTTAATGAATCTGAGGCCACTTCTACACTAATGCAGATAAATTTGACATGGTATCTTTTCCCTCCAGTACCAATCAACTGAACTAAAACAGCACAAACAACTGACATCACATGCATTGTTAACTAAACCCAAGGTATACAACAAAGCCTGATATCATTTCACAAAAACATCTACTGTAACTAAAAAGCCAGTGTCTGATGTGGCACATACGCACCACCCAGAGTCCACAAGATTAGTATTTCAGTGAACAAGTCTAAGAGCTCACCCTCTTTAGGCTTGGGTGCCGGGTCCCACTCAGGAATATTCTTCACAATGGCCTCTACAGCTTGGCCTGCTGCTATACGAGTGTCCCAGTTGGGACTCCTTAGGTAGGTCAAGACCTTGTAATTGAAAGAAAATAGATTTAATTTACTACATGTACAACTTAGACTGAAACTGTCTGACCTATAAAGAGAAAGTAAAATGGCCAACACAAAACTTTTTTGTCCTTTTGTTGAGATATTGGGGACCCTCCCACCCCCCATTATTAATATTTTCAAATATGCAGAGGATGACATTATCTTGGAGGCTGATGATAGACTGTTAGGACGATACATCAAACACACACTTTTGATAGGAGGTTGTTGAGTTCATGCGGGTGCAGTTTGACCACTTCTCCAAGCTGCTGGGCTGCTGCTTTCCTGGTTACTGGTGTTGTTCCGGTGTCAAGCAGGATAAACAAACGATCAAGTCTAAAGACAGGTTACAAAAAACAAAACAAGTTCAACAGAAACCTCAAAGACAATGCACAACGCACAGCACAAAACAGACAACATCCTGGTTCCTCTTCTTCAATTTTTGATGCTCTACTGTGCGAGGACCACTTCCAAGCTTTGAGCAAAACCAGAAAACCAGAATAAATTACCTCAATCAATATGATCTTTGTTTTGTTTTTTTCATTTAATTCTGAATAAATAAAAAGATAAAATAAAGGTTTCTTCATTATCGCAAATGTTCTCAATGTAACACATGCACCCATGGATGAAACTGTTCTCTATTATTAATTGTTTGGCTTTGCACCAAGGTAACCTGTTTAATGATCCTGGTCTTTCACTGAGGTCATTAGCGGTCTATTAATAAAGTGGAGTGGATTAGGGATGTACGGGGCGTGACCCCAGATACCAGTAATACTTAAGCTGAACTACAGATTACTCTATTTGCTATGCAAAAGACCACTGACACCACGTGGAATTATCACAACAATCAAAACGGAAAGCACTAGCTGAGACCACATCAAAACTAAGTAAGCCAAAGATAACACTGGTGCATTTAGCAATGACGTTAAATATTACCACGATGTGAGCATCAAGGGCAGGATGCAAATTTACCACTTGACAAGCTGCTGTGTTAAAATTTGCACTGAGTAAACCGGGTTCCTGTTCCGTTTACCAATATTTGTTGTACACTGGTAACAAATGAAGGTATCTCATGGTTGCAGACTGGCTTTCCTGACACAACTTCACTGTAACGTTAGTTAACCGGTATTTAACGGCAGAGCATCAGCAAAGGACTGGGAGACACTTAAGTGTGAAATTAATTTTAACTGACACTTCGCACCTGCAGTGAACATGAGTCCAAACTGACTTATGAGCCCAGTCCGTCCCCGGCCTGCAAACTCAAACCACGAGTAGTGACTAAGTTACACCATAACGTTGGTCTGTTAGCTTCCTGGCTGCTGTTAGTCAGCCGTCGCCATGCCATTCTTTGCCAAATCAAAAGCTAGCAGGTATTAGCAGGTTAGCTAGCTAATTGTTAATGAAAGTCGGAGAGACAGAACCGAGTCAGTATGAGCGTAAGTCAAACTTACCTTGATACAGCCATGGCCAAAAAATGTATGGCCTTTCACGTCCCGCATTCAACAGGCAGCCAGTAATTTGAGGCGTTCTCCTCTTTTCTGTTTAACGTTTCCAATGTTACAGGCTACAGTAGATGAAGTCATTAGCTAGTTAGCAGCTACCGCTAGCTAGCCGAGGCCCAGGCTTCTGCTTGTGGCCACCCCAACTCTGTCTACCGAAGAGAGTGACTTCACCACCAATTCATGGCTTCAAAGTTACCCCTCTTGTCTCTTCGGTATCTTCTCCCACAAAATATCGCCGAGTACCGTACGCATATCAATCTATAGCTCAAGCTACCCTTCAGAACTCTTCGCGGATAAATATTTTAACCTAATAAGATGTAAAGAGTTATTTTGTTGCACGTTGAGGGCGACCCAGAAGACTGTTTTTATATGAGGAGCCATCTTGCATTTATTCCTTCCTCCATAGCAGGCGGAGGCTGATTGGCTGGAAGCATCGGGGAGAGCCAATCAAAAAGCACGTTAAAAGAGGAAACGAATGGAAAGGAGAAAAAAAAGAAAAGGGATAGTTTATATTTTTTCCCTCATTGATGTTAGATACATTGTTGAGCTTAACGTGGCTCTAGTGCATTTAAAAACAAAAAATAACACTTACTTAATTAGGTATGCGTGCTTATGTATACGTTTATGTATGTGCAAGCCAGATATAATTAATTTATGTTGTCTGAATTAGAATACTGGGGCTCTGTATACCAAATTGCTTTAATTGTTTTTACATTTATTTCGCTATACTTTGGCTGTATTAACGTTGCTTACAGTTTTATTTTTGCAAGTGAAGCCTGAGCTGTCCATGGTCGTGAGGAGCCAATGGCTTTCCAATCCGTTGCATAGCCTTGAGTTAACAATGGCAGAGAATGGTGTTTTAGAAACCATTGGTGTTCAGCAAAGGTTAATCATGCTTAGTGTTTCTGATAGCTGCTGTTTTGGTGGTCTTAAGCAGGATTATCCGGCTGGGCAAATATGCAGACAATTAAGTGGGCAAAAGTTGTGCTGCTGGCATCTTACAGATGTAGTATTTTCAGTATGCAAATAATATATTATATTGTCCTTGCAGTATGACAACACAACTGTCAGTACACCTATCAGACACAGTCACACAAACCTGAACACACACACCCACACCTTACAACAATTTAAAAAAAAAAAAAAATCATTTATCTGATCATATTATGTCTGACTTTTTTCCTTATGACTTTTTCCTTTTTCTTGCTTGTACATTTTCTAGTTTTCTTCCTGAGGTCATGCATGTCCTTCATATGACTGCAGAGGGTCCTCAGATAAATGGTGCTTAAAACAGATCTAAACCAACACATTCAAAAAACTATGAATATTTACATTTAGCTGATTGCTGTCGTGCCAGTTTTTACTGACTCTTGTCTGTAATTTCGTGACAAACTCATCAGTTTGAGTTTACTAAATCTCTTTCATCATTACAGCAGTACAATACAACACAATGTTTTTCACAAACTACTGGAGCAATAAGAAACTTTATGGGGGGTTGGTGCACACACCCTTTTATTTCCGTAGCTGTGTATGTGAGTAGTTTACTCAAAGTTGAAATGTTAGTGTAGAGAGACCAGGAAAAGAAGGCATGGCTTTATGGGTGACCTTTTCTCAGTTTGTCCTCATAATATTTCATGGTCTTTTAAATTGGGAGACTTTCATGTTACAGATTTTATTTCTTTCTCAGAAGTTTAAGCATCCCAAAGGAGGAGTCCTATTTTTCTGCCATAAATGTGATGATGGACTATCACAGTACTACAGTATGACCTCTGTTGTTTGAAGGTTTATTCCTTTTTTCTTCTTGCAGCTGTTTGTTTAATTCACAGACCAAGGTTTAAAATCTTGAAAACCGCATTTTTCAGATCTGCAAAAATCCCAAATAATTTTACTGATAATTATGTAAAATCTAAAACTGTCATATGGAGGAGGGAACACTGCATACATGTGATCACTCTAATATCACACAGTGGATGAACACCAAACGAGAAACAAAGGGCAGGTTTTGAGCTGACAGAGTTGCATCTAATATCTAAATGTTCATCACTGTATGAAAGCATCACTGCACAGAGTAGTTGCATAGAGTTTGAATTGGAAATGATTTTATCACATAATGAGCATCCTGTCTGTTTGCAGAATGTTGGTTATGAAACATTGTTATGCAATATCTAAAATAAGCACAGAGCTTTGCAGTTTGGAGTACTATGTGTGCTCACATTTAGATTCCACTAAATCCTGTTTTATCTCTTTGGGGCAATGCAAAAGTATTAAGTATTATTAAATGATCAACATGCTTTTCTAAATAGGAAACCAGTATGTTTAGCCCATGGTGTTGGTTGTATTTATCAATTCATTGTTTTGGTTGTATTTAAGTGTAATTTAAACGTGTCCATAATCCATGACCCATTTACCATAGCAGCACCTTTGACGGTAAATGATAAGAGAACCATGACAAAAATTAAAATGCAAATTTTTTTTACATCATTTATGTTGTTTATTGAAAAATTTGTGGGAGGAAACTGGAGCACCCAAAGAAAACCCACGCAAGCACGGAGAGAACATGCAGTCTCCATACAGAGAGAAGGCAGCTGGTCAGTAGACTGAAAAACACAACTTTCCTGCTGTGAGACAACACTGCTAACCATTGAGCCAAAGTGCTGCCCTCTATTAATTAACTTTAGTTGCGTAGTTCTTCTTCTTCAGGGCCTTGCAAGTGCTGCATCATCAAGCTCCTGAGGCCTGTTGGTTGCTCCCATTGCAAGCACCCTATCATCTCCTCCTGTCTTCCACCCCATCAAAGCCAACAAGGCATTGTGTCCTCTTTCCTTCCTTTGACAAAGCAAGCTCCACTTCATCAGTAAAGATGACAGAGGTCCGTAATTCTCTGGCAACTGCAAAAAGTGCTTCTCACCTTCTCCCACTTATTTAGAGGGCAAACTGGCAGCTTTGATGTTGAAGAATTTGACTCGACTGCTTTGGCCAGCATGGTCCAAATAAAAGCAAACCACTTGCTTGAGCTCTCAGCCCAGTAAAGAGCTCTGGCATTAAAGCAGGTAGGATGACAATCTCTTGGAGTGCTTGCTTGGCCATATCCTGTCCCGCAATGTCTTCAAAGGATACAGACGCTCCAGTGCCAACAATTTCATTCTGAATCGAGTTGGCCAGTGTGCTGTCCTCATATCCCTCTGTAGCAGCTGTTTCAACCTTGCTGGTTTTCCAATTTTGAGCTTTTCCCACCTGCAGGGTCACCTTTGGATCAGTGGCTCTAGTCGGGGGGGTTTGACAGCAATTGATGGTCTGATGTTAGTGGCCACACCATGCACTGCAGGCTGGCTTTTAGGACCAGGTTTTGGTTGTTGACGAACATGAGTTGAGTTCTTGGGACCACTACTCTATTAAGATGCCACTGATAGCTCAACAAGGGTAAGCCTGTTTTTTGCCATGGCAAGATTTTTGATGATTTTATCTTGAAGTCTTGGTCACACTGAAAACCTTATTCTGTGATCTCTCCTGCAAAACCCTTTTCAAGCACATTAATACATTTTTTGCACCACAGCACAGCCTCCCCCTTTTCACCTGTATCATCTTCAGCAATTCTTAATGTCCCCCTATACTCATCTGCATATGCTAGTTTTTCATAACTTCACCACTGTCTTTGTTTTTACATGTGTTACTGTTTACTTGTTCTAAGCAATGCATCCGTCAAGTTTGAAGTTGATTAGATGAGAGGTTGTCAAGAAAATCAAAGGACAGACAGACATTAGTAGGATTATTTTGCTTATATTTAAGTAAAATTAGAACATGTCCATGTCCCAGACATGACTTAAACACTGCAATATTGAGATGTAGCAGCTCGACTTGAGCATAGCTGGGCTTAATGTCACCCACCACCCTCCTTTCAACACCTCGCAATAACACATGAATATTGAGCACATTTATTTTAGAACTGACAATGATGCTCACTGTGTTTCAATCTGAACTGACACTGTTTCACCTCCTGATGTCAGTTAATTGGGCAACAGAATCCAGAAACAGCTAAAAAAAATATATCTAAAAACAGACAAAGCTTCACAATAACATTGTGCGTAAATGACATGATGAGTTTTATTTGGAGAAAATTATAACTTGAGTATTTGCTCAGATGCCCGAGGCAGATTTTCCTCAGGAATACCTGCAGATAAGTGGAAAAAGAGAGAAAGAGACGGATCTGTCTTATGAAAAATATGATGGATCTGGTCATAAAACATCTAAATTATAGCTGCAAAAGTTTCTATCACTATAGAAACAGTATCTTGCTGTGTATTGTATGACCTATCAGGCCTCTTCATCTCATCTGAATACACTGTTGAAACCTCACTCACATATTCATACTGGCTCTTACTGTATTTGTGCCACCTGCCTTTAGAAGGCAAATAGATCATTAAAACTAAGTGAAAAAGAAAGATTTTGACATAATGTAATGACAGAAAATATATTTTCAAAGCTTTTAACTCAGTAAATCACCTCAATCTATGTAATAGGTTTATTAATCCTCCTTCATAGAGTGGACAATATGATTTTCATGAGGCTCTTTGTATGTAAAGAGCTGATGAATGTGGAGGAGGAGGATGCATCAGTCTCTGCTGCATGAAAATGTGATGGAAGTCCTGATGTGATCCCTGTTTAATCTGTGACTAAGCTGTCCCATGTAACACTATTACATCAAAATCACACCAGTGAACTCTCTATAATACTTAGATAGCCTATGGTATTACAAGACAAGGCTTCTTTGATGGTATAGTATAGCAGTCCATTTCTGACAGTGACCTCAAAGTTAGATCTTCAATATGCAGACCCCCAAAAGTCCAGGGATGTCGTCTGTGTGTGTTTCTCTTTTAGACAGCGATAGTCCAGCAATCTGTCTGAACTGGAGACAGTGCAGTTCATCTGTTTTAGTCAAATGTCCCACTCTGACTTGTTGACAACACATCATTAATTAACTTCACCTCTTGTGAGATTAAAAGGTCTTTATAAACCTAAACATTGAAAAACCTGCTGTCACCTGCTAACTAACTAATTCACTAACTAACTAACTAACTGACTAAATGACTGACTGACTGACTGACTGACCCACTGACTGACTAACTAAGGGTTTAATCGGATATTTTATTACAAATCTGAGGAGTCATTATGTATGTTTTCAATCTTTCATTGTCAGGATTATCCAAAAAATAATCCAAGATGAAACCAAACATAAAGTTACTATTTTAAATACTCCAGCATTAGTGGCACTGGGAGAAGTAATCACTCTTGTGTGAACACAGGCATTATTTGTCATAGCTAAAATGACG